CAATAGATCCACCCTTATGTCCAGTGTGTTTCTAACAATAGATCCACCCTTATGTCCAGTGTGTTTCTAACAATAGATCCACCCTTATGTCCAGTGTGTTTCTAACAATAGATCCACCCTTATGTCTATGTGTTTCTAACAATAGATCCACCCTTATGTCCAGTGTGTTTCTAACAATAGATCCACCCTTATGTCCAGTGTGTTTCTAACAATAGATCCACCCTTATGTCCAGTGTGTTTCTAACAAAAGATCCACCCTTATGTCCAGTGTGTTTCTAACAATAGATCCACCCTTATGTCCAGTGTGTTTCTAACAAAAGATCCACCCTTATGTCCATTGTGTTTCTAACACCCTTAATAGATCCACCCTTATGTCCATTGTGTTTCTAACAATAGATCCACCCTTATGTCCAGTGTGTTTCTAACATGTCCAATAGATCCACCCTTATGTCCATTGTGTTTCTAACAATAGATCCACCCTTATGTCCATTGTGTTTCTAACAATATGTCCAGTGTGATTCTAACAAAAGACCCTTATGTCCAGTGTGTTTCTAACAATAGATCCACCCTTATGTCCAGTGTGTTTCTAACAATAGATCCACCCTTATGTCCATTGTGTTTCTAACAATAGATCCACCTTTATGTCCATTGTGTTTCTAACAATAGATCCACCCTTATGTCCATTGTGTTTCTAACAATAGATCCACCCTTATGTCCATTGTGTTTCTAACAATAGATCTTTATGTCCATTGTGTTTCTAACTTATGTCCAGTGTGTTTCTAACAATAGATAGATCCACCCTTATGTCCATTGTGTTCCTAACAATAGATCCACCCTTATGTCCAGTGTGTTTCTAACAAAAGATCCACCCTTATGTCCATTGTGTTTCTAACAATAGATCCACCCTTATGTCCATTGTGTTTCTAACAATAGATCCACCCTTATGTCCATTGTGTTTCTTTCTAACAATATGATCCACCCTTATGTCCAGTGTGTTTCTAACAAAAGATCCACCCTTATGTCCAGTGTGTAACAAAAGATCCACCCTTCTGTCCAGTGTGTTTCTAACAATAGATCCACCCTTATGTCCATTGTGTTTCTAACAATAGATCCACCCTTATGTCCATTGTGTTTCTAACAATAGATCCACCCTTATGTCCATTGTGTTTCTAACAATAGATCCACCCTTATGTCCAGTGTGTTTCTAACAATAGATCCACCCTTATGTCCATTGTGTTTCTAACAATAGATCCACCCTTATGTCCATTGTGTTTCTAACAATAGATCCACCCTTATGTCCAGTGTGTTTCTAACAAAAGATCCACCCTTATGTCCATTGTGTTTCTAACAATAGATCCACCCTTATGTCCATTGTGTTTCTAACAATAGATCCACCCTTATGTCCATTGTGTTTCTAACAAAAGATCCACCCTTATGTCCATTGTGTTTCTAACAATAGATCCACCCTTATGTCCAGTGTGTTTCTAACAATAGATCCACTTATGTCCAGTGTGTTTTAACAATGATCCACCCTTATGTCCATTGTGTTTCTAACAATAGATCCACCCTTATGTCCATTGTGTTTCTAACAATAGATCCACCCTTATGTCCATTGTGTTTCTAACAATAGATCCACCCTTATGTGTGTCCAGATCCACCCTTATTGTGTTTCTAACAATAGATCCACCCTTATGTCCAGTGTGTTTCTAACAAAAGATCCACCCTTATGTCCATTGTGTTTCTAACAAAAGATCCACCCTTATGTCCAGTGTGTTTCTAACAAAAGATCCACCCTTATGTCCATTGTGTTTCTAACAATAGATCCACCCTTATGTGCATTGTGTTTCTAACAATAGATCCACCCTCATGTCCATTGTGTTTCTAACAATAGATCCACCCTTATGTCCAGTGTTTTTCTAACAAAAGATCCGCCCTCATGTCCAGTGTGTTTCTAACAAAAGATCCACCCTTATGATCCACCCTTATGTCCAGTGTTTTTCTAACAAAAGATCCGCCCTCATGTCCAGTGTGTTTCTAACAAAAGATCCACCCTTATGTCCATTGTGTTTCTAACAAAAGATCCGCCCTTATGTCCAGTGTGTTTCTAACAAAAGATCCACCCTTATGTCCATTGTGTTTCTAACAATAGATCCACCCTTATGTCCAGTGTGTTTCTAACAATAGATCCACTTATGTCCTTAACAATGTCCATGTGTGTTTCTTACAAAAGATCCACCCTTATGTCCAGTGTGTTTCTAACAAAAGATCCACCCTTATGTCCAGTGTGTTTCTAACAAAAGATCCACCCTTATGTCCATTGTGTTTCTAACAATAGATCCACCCTTATGTCCAGTGTGTTTCTAACAATAGATCCACCCTTATGTCCATTGTGTTCCTATCAATAGTGTCCTTATTCTCTTTTTATAACAATAGAATTCATTATTCTTCATTGTCTAATTGTAACAATAAATCCCATTGTCTTCCCACGGTGTATAGCCGTCCTTACTACTGGAAACCAAGAATAAAATACATGAAATATGGATAATAGTCACTACTGAAATAAAGCAAATAGAAATGTTACAAGAATTCATAAGCATTCTTTTACATATTGATGAAATTGAATGGCTTCACAATTTCTTGCGTTTGATATGCCCGTCTGTTTTGACACCATGTAGCATAATAAAAACATATTGATATTTTGTGTCTATTCAATTACACCTCCGAATATATTATATATAAGTATATGTTCTGAATTTGTTTTGACAGATTTTTTTCTGTGTCAAGACACGCTATTGTTATTACATGTACCTATATAAAGGGTGTGGCATATTAGAAAATGTAAAACAAATACTAAAAATTAATTAATATTTTGAAGAGGGCAAGGTTTATCACCAATGCAAGTGTTAAATGCATAGTAGAGGTGAAAGACTTGGCTGTAAATAGAATGAGACATTATAAAACTAGTTAATGAAGAAGGATATGGAGATAACGAACAGCATTCAATCTCTAAGTCCATAAAACAAAACAAATACCGGTAGGAGCAGAGCAAACACGGACCTCCAAAACATGAGAGGTGGGGTCAGGTGCCAAAGAGGAGTGAACATTCCCTGCTGGCCGGTCACATCCACCGTGTGCTACTTGTCATGATCAGGAAATAACGGAAAAATCCGTCGTCAATTCAGTGCATGAATAATGGACTAACAATTGGTATGAAAAACGTCAGTCAGCACTTGACTATTGATAAATTGTATTTGCTGACAAGGTCATTATATCGACCATAGAACTTACGAAATGATGACTTTAAGCGAGACTGCTGATATTCTTGTTTCATCAACTTATCAACTTGCTTGTCAATAATTTACCTCGTTTAATATAATCTATCAAAAGTACTTCGAACCAACTTATATTTGCGACGACTTTATTTCGCGATTTAGTGGTGGTTTGTATCGATAAATTTTGGTGACGAAGCCTTTTTTTGGATCTTTTGTTAAGAGAAACAGAGACTTTCAGGAAAGGTTCATGGCGAAAAATATTCGCGATGATATGGCCCTCTTTAAACTCGCGAAAATTTCTCGCACGCGAATAAAAGTTGGTTTACAGTATGTTGTGATTTATTAGCTGCACAACCTTAGCGTTCTATATTTTAGTCTTAGATAAAAACGTTACAGATCCCTAAATGCAAATATAGTCAAATACGGCGATTTTTTACACACTGTTAGTGCACTCGGTTAGTAAAATTTCTAAACGAGCAAGTCTATCAGTTTATCGAGACGACTATCAAGGGAAAGGATATGGATAATTTTGGAGCTTGGTCATAAAATATGTCTAGAACTAAGGAATAAGAAGGAGTTGATTGATTAATACTGGAAAGATTCGAAATGCATCTTAAACAATGCGTAGAAATTGCACAATATTTGCATGACGAGATCTGTAGTACTAGTCTTATGGTCAACGACTTTAAATATCTACGCAACAGCACTGCAGCTAGTGGATTGCATTAGACGATGGTTGCTGTTCCTGAGGTCTGTACGATGATTTAGCCACCTGAGTAGAACAAAATTTACGAAAAAAAGACCCGAAAATTATTGTGTTTTTGTATGATTCAATAATTAAATGAAACAAATATACAGCTATTCATGTTATCTTACTCGTTTAATGCATTGAAGCCCTAATCAAAATAAATGAGAAAAAATGGTTTAAAAAACAGAAACAGACGAAAAAATTATTTGGAATTTTACTTTAAGTGCTATACAAAACGATGTATCGAAATATTTAGGTAGAGGATCGATATTAAAAAAGGGGTATCCATTATCAGGGGAAAATGACAGAAATATTTGAGCACTCCCTCCTCACCATCCCCATGTCAAATTATAAGTTCCCTTCTGTCATATTCAACTTGAGTGGAAGTTGGTAGAAAGTGAAATAGTTTTCCAAAACTATTTGTATCAATTTGGAATTTCCAAATCTGTTTTTATACTAATGTAAAGGAACTAAATCCTTATATTGAATTGGAACGTCACGTGCATGTAAATAGAACGTAGTATTTTTGATTGGTTGTTAGATCTATGTCAATCAGAAAGAGGGAAATTGTTCAATCATATATGACACTGTAGACATGTTTATACCTTTTTTTTAAAAAAATAATTTTATTAATCACTGTCCAATTTTATTAATCATTAAGCAAACCCGTTTACATGTTTATATCTGATAATATTGATTATTTTACACAGGTTTTATTCTGAAAACTTGATCGATGCGTATTCATTGAATCATTGAAAAGTCACAGCGTCCATAATTAAAGTAAGTATGTTTATATGTTACTAAACATATTTCAATTATCCATTTTCTTATATTCCAAATCATAAGTAAATAAGTGAATTTCAAATAAAGATAAATAATATAAACTCAGATTTAAGTTCAAAGTTAAAATCTTTCCGACTGAAGAAATAAACACATGCGTATGTTATCAGAAGAAACAACTGGAAAAGATGTCCAAGAAATAAATATCTTCTGTAAATGATGTATAAAGCAGTGTTACAGAAGTCAATCAGAGTGAGAAGTGTTAGTGAGTGTCGTCACATTTCCCACGTGACGTCAGACCGGGTCTGGATCAGTGATTGGAACAATCTCATCTTCACAAACACAGAAGGTGATGAACTAAGTTGTCTATCAGACATAGGAAGTTATTACGGAGGCCACACTGTGAACATTGAGGGTGATTTAGTTTATATTGACAGTGCGCATAACGTCAACAAACATTCTTTAGATAATACAATTAGGACAACACTTATAAAATACCAGCCACCATGGAGACCTCTATGTGTCTACAGCTCCTCCTCCACTGGAGATCTGCTGGTCGGGCTAAGAAATACCGAAAGAAAAACAGGCAAGGTAAACCGTTACAGTAAAATCGGACAACACATACAAACCATACATCACAACAACACAGGACAGGTACCGTATAGTTTACCCATCTACATCACTGAGAACCGCAATGGAGATGTTATAGTGTCTAATTGGGACTGTGTAGTTGTGACTGAGTGTGAAGGGAGATATCGCTTCTCCTATACAGGACCTCCATTAGGATCTGGATTATGGCCTCGTGGATTAAGTACAGATGCACTATCACGCATCTTTGTGTGTGATCATAGGACAGACTCAGTACAAATGATTGATCAGGACGGACAATTCCTGTCGCAAATACACATACCACAACACGGTAAAGACAAACCATGGAGCCTGAGTTATGATCATGAAACTAATCTTTTCTGGATTGGATCATTGAGCAACAACACAGTTAACTTATACGGAGTGATAAATGACGACCCTATCACTGGTATGTGTATATAATACTCTTGCATAATCATATTCTTGTTTAGCAAAACATTTTCTGTACAATATACTGTAATTGGTGGGGAAGTCATTAATGAGAACATTTATTCCTTGGGTTATGCACAGTTACAAAAATCATGAAAATGAAGAATAATGCAAAATAATGTTTTATATTTTTCCCAGTGCAATTACATAATATTCTTAACGAAATTATAATAATATTTCCCAGTGCAATTACATAATATTCTTAACGAAATTATAATATTACTCAAAATTAGGTACAAAGGTTATTTCTAATTATAAGGGATTATATATAAATCTAAAATGGTAGAATTATTAGTTTAACTGATAATGGATACTTGAGCGTCATTAAAAGTATAACAAAGATATTTATATTACCTGATCCAGGGGATGTGTGTAAAATGTTCAACTAACCTCTCATCTTTCCTCTGCCATAAAAGTAGAACGACTTTTCAAGAGAAAAACGCGTATTAATTTTAATAAAAAAAGGGGCTACAAATCAGTGATGTTTTATGGTACTTTGGATCTTTTTGTGTGTTGTAAGACCGTTAAGGCCCCAGAGCCTCATCGTTATATTTTTTGTTCATTACATGACAAAATAAAAGTCTTCCCTGAGTTAAAAGAATTATTCTATGATCCTCATTATGTCTTTTTCTACAACTACTGATGTTTTAGATATCGTTGTTGAGTTGAAGAAGTTCTTGAGAAAGGAGAAGACAACTGTTTCCCATGCCAGAGGAATACTTGTTGGATGTGCTGGGGCTGGAAAAACAACCTTTTTGAAGAGATTAAGAGGGCTACTTCACGATATCACTGAAGCTACAGACTCAACCAGGGGGCTGGAAGTCCATCAGCATCTCTTCATTGTTAGAAAAGGGAATTTAGAAGGTAAATTTATTCCCCTATATCTATACGTTGTTAAGCTCACCTGAACTTAAAGCTATAGCGTTTTTTGTGTCAGTTCTTGTCCTTAGTATATCTGTCTTTGGAAACTTTTTCAATCTTTTTTACCTTTATACAAGAAACATTGGACCAATTTTAACGGAAGAAGGTACGTGTATAAATCATTCCTGGGTAGAGGGAATTCTAAATTATAATTAACAGCCAATCCTCCTCGCCTGGGGTCATAACCTAGAAAAAAAAGAAATGCTGGGCCATTAAAAATCAGGAACAAACACACATGAAAAGTTCAAGCTTATCAGGAAGTTTCTTGTGGTCTTGTAGTTCATAAACTGTTCAAATCATGACAAAATAAGGAGGGTGGGTCAAAAAAGAAGAATCAAAGTTTAACATTAAGATATAAATAGAAGATTTACAAAGAAAATATGTTTTGAAGAACTGCAGGCTAGAAAAAACTGAGACATATTTAGCAGGAAAGCTTCCCGAAGCACTGTCTAAATTGTTCTTATCATGACCACCCGAGGATAAAGTTCAAAATGAATTATAAATTGAAATTCTTAGTACAAAAAATGTTCTCAGGAACTATGATACGAAAAGCTGAAACTAGAGAGGAAACGCTATAAGACAGTAAATGCTAAATAGTTAAGACACCGGGGCGGTCTATCGCAACAATTACAAAGGATTTATTAGAATGTTTATTTTTTAATTCTTCACCTCAACAATGATTGCATAAAAAATTCTAATCAAAGCTAACAAGGGAAGATTTTTAGTTTTATTTTGAAATTTAAAGTTATTTTTTAAGAACCATTGTGAATGTTTGAATTTGTGTAACAGCTTTCTGATAATAAGAAAATAATTGAAAAAAGTTAAGGTGCATAGAAGTTGGACGTGGACACAATAAGGATTATATTAATCTTTAAGATTTGTCTCAAGATCAACAGAGACTGAGCCCTCAGTGCCGAGTAAAGGACAAAATTTGCAGCTCTCCACCGGCATGTGGTGGCGTCTCCATATGAGTGAAAAATTCTCGAGAGGGACGTTAAACAATATACAATCAATCAATCAACAGAGACTTGTCAAACTATATGAAAGTCAAAGCATTATTTCAGTGTGTGTATGATTCATTTTTGTTTATTTTTCAAATGATTACATATTAAAATAACAAATATTTTATCAAAGAAATAACCAGGGGTATGTTCCGGCCCTTTAAGAAATCTGTTGCAGAACCACATTAGGCCGGGAGTGACTCAGGTTGATTTAGTGGCCCATGGACCTCTTGCGTGTAAATTGTAGACACAACTAGAAAAGCTCCCTTAAAAGCAATTGTGTAATCCTTGAAAATTTCTTCAGTACACAACACTATTTGTTCAGGTCTGAAAACCTGTATAAGAATCATCTGATATGATATTCAACAGATACATAAAATAACTTATTTATTTGTACTGTTGAATGGGAAGAGTTATGCCATGCGCCATTTTAAATGCTGTGCATCAAAATATCAATTGCATCAACCTTAGACATTAATATGATAAAGTGAATTGGTATTCCGTATTGAAAATAGTTATAAATACAATTGAAAGAAATTGTAATATATACTAGATAAACCATAATTTATATCGATAAGTTACATTGCAGAGAGCTTACTGGTGACGATTCAAAATCGATTATTGGTATTAATTCTTCAGTCCCCATAATATCATTTTGTTTCTTATAGAAGAATACCATATGACTGTAGATACTTTTTTTCAATAAAATCACTATGATATGCCAGAATTTTAAACTGATCTAATTTTGGACAAGTTATGTCTCTTTAAAATACTAAAGAAATGCTGCGCAAAAAGAAGTTTATTGCTATTTGACACTGCCTGTTTTTTTTTACTCATTTAACAGACTTTATCATTTTTATGCCGGTTTAAGTGTACGATTTCTATTGCAACATACTTTATGAAGATCAATATTTCTCAGATCATAATGATCTGATTTTAAAAAAAATTATCGTTGATATTAGCGAACATTTACTTGTCGGGTTCCTAGGTTGAATAAATGTGCCGCATTAAAGAGAAGAACATATTTACAGCTTCCCTTATTTGTAATTAATATGTCTTAGGATGTTATAAGGAATGCAAATAAAGGAAATGATGGGATTTGCCTACAGTATTTGTAATCGATCATCATTTGTTTAAAAATAGATATATAATTTAATATCTTTCGTGATGTCTTTTGTGAGGAAATCCTTTACCTAATAAAACAATTAATTGTTTACAGTAGTCGATGATGCATCTCCATTGAAGACATTTATTAGGATAAATGCCACAGATTTAAAGCCAAGCATAAGTGATGCCGTTGCCCTATCCCATTCAAATGAAAATAAAGACCATTTGGGAGAGAAAAATGTTGATAAAGACAGTGAAGATATTCATAGCAGAGATGAAAAGAAAGAAAAGAATATGGAGATGTCGTCTAGCTTACCAAATGAAGGAAAAGTAAAAGTCAATACAGTAGAAGTAATGGCCAGTGTTCTCTCTTCAGAAGCACAGAAAATGGTAAAAGATGAAATTTGTCAGAAAATCTTGTCTGAAAAAGAGAACTTACCAACTGTCAGCATGCTGGATTTTGCTGGTCAGTTAGCGTATTATGCCTGCCATCAAATTTACGTAACCCCAAAGGCCTTCTTTATCCTTGTGTTGGACATGACTAAGAAGTTTGAAGATGTTGTCGATCAAGAGAGAGATTATCAAGAAGGATCAATCTTCTCTGTGTGGACTTACAAAGGTAATGTATGTGTTGTGGTGTTAGATTTATACTAGAATGGCTTACATCCATGAAGGTGAGAAAATAATGATGCATTAGACACTAAGCCATGAAAGACATGCAAAATAAAATTCATTCAGGAATATTTGAATCAAATAGACGGATTCTTGAAAATAAAAAAGAAATGCCGAAAAAGTTGGAGAATGTAAAACATTAGCCTCTCTCTCTCGTGATAGAATTTTTTTTAGATTTTAGTATTTTAATCAAAAACCAGCGGGCCAATATCATTGAATCTTTCCACAAGTAAAGGTAAGATAATGGGGGCTCAAGTTTGATCAACCTCTTCAATGTAGTTAAAGAAGAGAGTGTATTACGTCATATTATTATTTAAGCTTAACTTAAGAGAAACGTGTACCACGCTATTAAGTGCTTGCAGAGAAATGGTTACGTCATGGTGTTTATGACGTGAACATTATTTGTATGTTGCATAACAATTCAGTAATTTGTGAAGAATTAATAGACTTTTATATATTTCATAACTCTTTATTAAATTGTTATTAGAATTTGTGCATTGCTACAGAGTAAGCGTTGTAGTACTGAGTAGCTATAGTACTTTGGTTTCTACATGTGTTTTTTTTCTCTAACGATAATTGATACTGAGATCCAATTAACTTCGAATAATTAAGAATACTTGTATGATTTTTATTATTTTTGCATTATTACTTTACAAAAATCAAAATTAATTTAAGATGTTTCGGACTTTGTCACAAAATAAATGTAGAAGAACCAAGCAATTTCATTCCAATCAATAGACAGGAATAAATAAATGAAGTTCTTGTACTGAAGTTTTGATTAAGGTATTCAATCCCTAATAGGAACTAATTCCATGAAATTTAATACATAATAGATGTGTAGGCATTGAATACTCAGTTTATTTAGACATACTTCCCATTTATTAATATTAGTATGCAAAGTGGGGTGTGTCCTAATTTATGACCTGGAATGTTGGTAAGAGTTATCTCCCCTATTTCAAATTAATAAAATAACATCAATTTTAAAAAAGTTAAGCTGTTAAAAAAATTGTTTTCAATTGTCATTCTATTTTTTATAATTCAATGCATCTTTCCACCGCAGGATTTATGGATATTCAAATTATTTGAATTTTTATTTTGAAAAAAAACCCCACTTTTCCCCATAGACTTCAATGCAGTCTTTTTTAATTAACTTTTGCTTAATTAATGAATTTTTTTAAAACTTGCTTGCGGGCAATCCTTTTCTACTATAGAATGCTTTAATATAATATCAGAGTATTATGTACTTGACGGACATTTAAGGGTAGGGAATAAGGCCCCATTAGGGATGGAAAACCTTAAGAAATATTTCTTCTAAATTTCTACCCAGACTATAAATACATATGGTACTCCAAATCCATCTTATTTTTTTTATTGCAATGAGACATGTCTAAACATAGAGTTTCACTTCATAATTAATGTCTCTATACAAATTGAATTTAAAGATTTCAAAATACACATTCTTATGACGTATTGGTGAATTTTATATTATTTCAAAATTTTTAAGAAAGTCTTAAAAGGGTGTGCACTAGATTGAATAAATAGATATATATGATTACTTTATCTTTATAATTGTCATAATAAACCATAAATCTTTTTTTTTTTTTTTTTTTTTTGCTTATTAGTACCCCAGAAAAGATAATTTATGCGAAAAACATTTCACGGTATAATTCTATTGCTATATTCTATTTCTTTTTTAGACTACCTGAAGTTTTGGATTACCTCAATCAAGACTTTTGGAGGCACTAAGGCACCACTGTTCATTATTGTCACACACACAGAAAGAAAATCTACTGATGTAAGTATCTAAACTGACATATAAGTATTTCAGACAGGATGTGAATCATAAGAATGAAGATGTTGCCAAGATATCATTAGACTTTAAAAAAAATTAAAGTTGACATGAATCCTTAAAAAACGCAACATTTTCATCTATGTACGAGTTGTTTCATACCAACTATAGCCGTATTCCGCCATATTTCTTACCGATACCTTGTCTCATTGTAACGATATATACCCCAATGCGCTCGTTACACTTGAATGATTTTGGGTTTGGGTATCAACTTGTGCACATCTCTGATGGTAAAGCATATGAGAACACATGAGGTGATCAAGACATTTCAAAACCAAAATAAACAACAGAATAATCATATTTTTGAATGATTATTGATTTGAATTAAAAGAAAAAAATATGCAAGTTTGGAAGAGAAATTAAAATGCATGAGTACGCAATTTTACAGTGCGCCAATTTATGCAGAATAAACTTGAAATAAAAAGCAGTAAAATCTGCAAACACATTTTGAAATTATTATCATTTGAATGGTACAAAACATCCAACGTTTTTGATTTGCAGGTCCTATGCAATTGATACATATCGAAAAAAACGCCTATACCTGAAAATAAGGTTACTGCATCGGTTCGAAGTCAAGTGGTATACACACCCTGAATTCCATTTATTGAAATGTGCATCACAAAAAAGAAATAAATTCCATAAAAGCCCGATAGTAAACACATTGTCATTACTCCGTACATAGCACGTCGATAGTCCGTGCTGATCAGATTTTGGTCAGGGAAAATATCATAAGTGCCAGTTCAAGTGGAAAGAGAAGTTATTTGGTATTTGCGCGACTGAAAGGGGGCGGGGGGGGGGGGGGGAAAGTATTATAACTGTTGTTCATAAGTTATAATTGTGAATTGTCTATCTACATGTATTTCTAATATACATTTTATATAAAGTCGTATATATAGTCTGCAGTTGTTTTGCGTCGCAAAATTCGTTTGTCAATTATAACTGGTTATTTAGTACTAATCTCAAATCTAAAACCAAGTAATTTGATTAATGGTAATTATTTACTTCAAATCTTAAAAGCAACTAACCAGTATACATTTTTTTTGTGTACATCTATACGTTCTGTAACACAGACACACGGAGAAAGGCCATCCCCTGTTCAGATTGACATTTAGGCATTTGATATTTTTAGGCGGGGGGGGGGGGGGAGGCATGCAAAAATTATTGACATGACCGTTATTTAAATAATTTGAAAGACAGACATTTCTGCGGAATTCAATTTTTGCTGCCTTGTTTTTTTTCTCTAAAGCACTTAATAATCATATTCTTAAAAAAGACATCAGACAAATTTAATCAGATTGAGGACAGATGATACAAACATTTTTTTCTTTGAAAAAGACTTCATATCATGTCAAAAGTTTAGAAAATTGGATGACATTTTTCTCGTAAGAACTGGAAATGAAATAAACTTGGAAAATATTAGTAATATTTCAATGAAAAAAAAATATAGAGAAATCACACTCAGTAAAGGTTTACAGGTGAAAACAAATTTAGGAATATGTTACTATGGTGCTAAAAGTGTAATAAAACTTTAGAAAAATATACCAAGCCAGGTGATTTTTATAAGAGAGGCAAAATGGTAAAAATCAGCCTATGTGATATTGCTAATTTTTTGTCATTTTTTTTCTCACAAATTTCACCTGGCTTGGTATATTTTCGTAAAAGTTATGGTACAAGTTATTTTCTTCTTTAGGAAATAGAGAAGTACTTTGAAGAATTCTGGAATGCTGTACCAGACGAGGACAGAGATTGGTTAAGTGAGTCTCTCAATGAACGAGATTATGCTGTGGGTCTAGTTAAACTAAATGACAATACAAAGAAAAACCTGGAATCGGTGAAAAAGTCCATAGTTGAACTATTTTCAGATAAGCTCAATACAAAAATTGAAATTCCTTCTTCGTGGGCTTTAATGGAACAATTATTGTATGAAGGAGCCTGGAAGCTTTTATCCATTGCAGAAATTTGGAGGCTAAACTCCTCCCTTCCTGATGAATACCAAATAAGAAGTGAAGAGGAAATGTCAAAATTTTTAAAGTGTTTCCATGATAATGGCATTCTTTTGTATTTTCAAGATGGGAAATTGAGGGAACATACAGTACTAGACATTCAGTGGTTTGCTACAGCTTTCAGTAAGATTATTGCTGATAAAAACCATATAAATAAGGACTGCAAAACAAGATTAATCAAAGAATGGAAATCCTTTAACAAAACAGGGGAACTTAAAGATAAATTGGTAAATGCACTATGGAGAGATGAACCTTTATACTTGACACATAAAAGTGAAATTATGTCTTACATGGAGAAGCTTCAAATGCTGGTATCTTTGGACTCTTTTGTGGCTGTATCAGAAGGTGACATGTCATGGTATGTTCCCTGTATGAACAAAAAGCAGTTTCAAGCTTACTTTTGTGAAGATAAATGGGAATGCTCCTCCATTTTGTGCTATCGATTTACTTCGTTTGCCATGTTTGTGTTCTACAGACTGGTAGCATACTGCATGGGGTTTCTGAGATGGAATGTTTCAAATGATGGAGATCATGAAGGAAGTCTATGTCTCTATCAAACTGCAGCCGTGTTTGATCACAAAGAACACACTGTTGTTGTTGGCTTATGTAATGACGAAATTCAATTACAAGTGTTTCGAATCAGACCATTGACTGTAGATAAAGAGGTATCAAATGAAATCGGAGACTCCCTTGAAAAAGCCATAGAAAAATTGACAGAAACATTTATTGGCACAAACATTTTCCTTAAAGGATTCAAATGCCAAAACATAATATGTTGTGAGAATGATCTGTCTTTCACACTTAAAAGTGAGCTGTTAGAAATCAAAGCTGAAGAAACGCAGTGCAAGTGTCTACTTCAAGAAAGACATGTGATAAATGTTCAAAAGACGCTTGGTTTCTGGGAAAAGGTAATTACACATGTAAAACACATCATTACAACCCACTCCCGTAAAAAAAATGAACGGGTTCAATATTGTCAAAGTGTACGTTGGTTTTGTTTTTCCTGCAGTTATATTTACACAACTACTTGTGACCAAAAATATATAGAAAATGCACATCGAAATCACTTATGAACTGAAAAACTTGATTATGCTAACACTCACAGTAAGTCAGTTTGGTAATTAGGACTTTCTTATGGTACACAATGTTAATCACTATATAGTATTCTTCGTGTACAATGGAAGTCAAAAACTTTTAAAATAAAGAAGTGATTTAGGTTGTACAATAGCAGAATATCCATTTCGCATCATTTAAGAGTTTTTTTTCAGTTATTCAGATTATGGGTGCGTTGAATATTTAAATCAAGCTTTCATTACATCTTTCAATATCGATATTAACTAAATAGAGGATATTCAATGCTTTGTAGTTGAATTTTGAATTTATTTCACGAGTGGGACAGGATTTTTGATATTTTCACTAGTGGGAAGCACGAGTAAAAATATAGAAAAAAAATCCTGTCTCATGAGTGAAATACATTCCATATTAAACTACAAAATATTGAATTTCTGTTTATTACTTAAAAAAAAAAGTTATTTGTCCTTTGCCCCTGTCCTTGTGTAATACACTCATAGGGTACATGACGTCATAGTTGAGCGGTTGAGACGTCGTGATAGATAAGTGAGGTAAAAATACTGTCAACATGGATTTAGCAACATATTTTTGGTAATTTTGACAGTTCTTTTCGCTGTCAGAATGGTTTATTTATTTCCATCTATCTTATGTTAGGTCATGGAAGATATTTTCACAATAATTTTCGTTATGGAAGGGAAATCGAGAGTTTTCTCGCACTTCTGATATTCGTCACAGTGTGAAAAGATATCATTTTGATATCCTTTCACATTGTGACATGATATCATTTTTATTCAATGAATAAATTACAGTATATCTCGAGCAAAAATGTAATAAATAGAGCTACTTATTCCTCATGTATTAGCATTTTTACTTATTGCAGCATGTAGTTCTGTGGAATCACTTATTTTCAGGGGGGGGGGGTCATTTCCGTTGCTTTCAAGGTATGAAGAGACCCACAAAATATCCATCACAAAAATTAAGATGTCATATATATAATTAATCAATGATTATTTATCCACGAAATTAAATCCCCACAAACCCATATTATTTCCGCAAACCAAAACAATTTGACCCAACGAAAATATATCATTTAACAGTATTTAATAGTCTTTATTAAATGCATGTATTTGGAAATGTTACCTGACCTTCAAACACGATTTCCTCTGCATGTACAGGAAGAGGGGCTTCAAGGGTAACACAAGTTGAGGACTACCCCTCACTTTAGATAATGTAATTGTACAAAGTTCATGGAAGGGTAGCTACGATAGGTTCCAAGCTGTGCAATCAATTTCTTATAATTCAAAAATATTCAGAAATTGTCTTTTTAAAAAGAAAAAAATAAAACAACAGCTGATATGAAAGCATCCTAAAGCCGTGTTCAAATAAGGACCCAAGGAGTTGCTTGTACAGTGTAACCACAACGAAATATCAAATGATAATTAATGTAGGAGTATATACCAATATATATTCAAAGTAAATAGAAAAAAAAATGGGTACATTAATTCTACCTCCATCCCAGGCTTGAAAATAATGAAGCCAAATTAACTTAAATTAATATGGAAGCCTATACAGTACTGTAAAATGGTTTCGTTCAAATGAAAATCCCCAGGGTTAGAGTAGGACCACAATAGGGAAATAAATCTCTAACAAATCATAATCCCAAAGGTTAGGGTAGGCCACAGTAGGGTAGTAAATCTCACAAATCATAACCCAAATGGACAGGGTAGAACTACAATAGGGTAATAAATCTTTCATAAGTCATAATTCTCAGGGCTAGGGAAGGGCCACAATAGAGTAAAAGATCTTTCAAATCACCATTTCCAGCGCTAGGGTGAAGCCACAAAAGGTTAATAAAAAGAGCTGTATGTCAAAAAGTTATATACCACTGCATGAGCATAAAATTTCTTTAAACTTTTTTTTGCGTTTGTGTTATTTAGTACTAATGTCAAAAGCCTTATCTTGTATATAAAACGTCATCTTAACATAAAATTCCTTCCATCTCCCCTTATTTTAAACACAGAGTCTTTTGAGATAGACATCACTTAAGTTGTCTAACTAAAGGACAAACTTTAGTTTGTTTGGGAATTGTTGACATGTTCTTGTACAATGGTAAACCAGTTTAAATATTACTAATAAACTTCCTTTATCTTTTGAAATGGTAAAAGAGCAAAAAAAATATTGTTCAACTTAAATATCATTTGTATAACATTTACTTATAGATACTATTGTATAGACATTAATTTGCTTTGAGGAACATGAAATAATCTTTATGATATTTTTTTCTTTATTTATATTTTTGCTTAGTCGTCTTCATTACAATTACTATCGCTAAATGCTTTCAGAGCACGTTGGGCGATTCTGGCAGCCAAATGGCTTCTTCACAAGTGCTGGAGGGTAGAACAAGATTTGCCAAACTTGGAATGGCAACAAACGATGTGTTGAATCAGGCATACAGAGATATTCTTGAATCAGAAGTACCTCCCTGCTATATTGAGAGCAAGGTGAATTCATTATCAACAAAAAAGAGAAGAGATCTGAAGTTGAATCCAGACCAAGAAGATCTCTTGAGAAAAGCAATGCATTCTGGATATAAAGAGTTTGATATTTCATTAACATACAAAATGATTAGAAACATTTGTTCAACGATCCCTAAACCATCAAAAGGAGTTTGGGGAGAAGAGCCATCAGGAGGAGAGGTGACAGTGGGTGACGATATAGAGAGAATTAGGTCAATACGAAATAGACTGACTGCGCACGTGAATTCAGCCTCCACCCCTAAGACAGAATTTGATGACACCTGGTCAACAATGTCGGATATCTGCCAAAGATTGGAAACCTTCACTGGAAAGAAGTATTTGGATCACCTGATTGAAATTAAAAAAATCAATTTGAGAAGGGAAGATGAGGATGCTATTATAAAGAATGTTAAAATGCAAGAAATCTTGGAGAAAATGAAATCCAATGTTCTTGAATTTGAAACAATGTTAAAGCCTTAACTACAGATTAGAGTGCCGTTTGGTTTACTAAAGATTTATTTTCAACTTGTAACTTGAAATTGAATACACAATTTAATTTGTATATAAATAGATTTTTTCAAGGAATCCGATATTCAGAACTTTTCAGTTAGTGGTTTTATTTTGAAAAAGTCACAAATTTTGAAAGACATTAGCTTAAAGGTTTAAAGCTATAATTAGTTACATTCCAATTGTTTTGACTATTCTCTATTTTTCCTGATTTTACTGAAGATATTGCAACAAATGTTAAGAATCAAACATGTATGAACTAAGGAACAAGGATATTGAGCATTTCAGCTGGGCACATTCCGTTCATTATCCCCGGAATTGATTGTTTGAATTCCGTTGCATTTCTCCGCAACGGTACATTTGTACATCAAGAAACTTTTATGTATGCTCATTTATTGTAAATGTCTTGTATTTTAGACAGATAGCATATTATCCTTACAATGATTATATAAAATTTACAGGTACAAAATAGTTGTTATGGAATCCTTCTTTTATAAGACTGGAAGTATGGGAAGTTTTGAATGAGTTTTCATCAGTACTCAGTGTTACATATTACATGCTGCAAACTTACTTGATTGCAAGTTCCTGCCAAAATCTAATGTTGTACTGTATGGTTGCATTATTCAAACACATATTTTCGATTCTACTTTGGAATAAGTGGCATTTTTTTGTTAATTATGTTTATATATTATACAGAATTCATAACGATTAAGATTATTGTAGTGCTACATTAAATGTATATTGTGAGCAACATTGAATAAATGTATAAAATTTATCAAGTTCTTACTATAAGATAAAAAAATGTGTGTTTAACTGTCGTGAATGATAGATCTGCAGGCTTACCTAGATCTCTTATCTGTCTGGAAAACAACAATTAAATCAAAGGTGCAGTTACATGCACTAATCTTGTAAAGCAGTAAAGATATAAGGAAAGGTGAAAGTAAAGACAATACGAATATATGAACAGGTTATACACATGGATATAACAAAGGTAAAATCCTAGAGTTTTATTGTTGATTGGTCACATTAGCTGTTGGTCCATACTATTTAAGGTACTTACAGTCGTCCATTTGTTATTTAGAAAAATAGGTCTAGAGATTTGTATAAAATATGTTGATCAATGTGAAGAATATGGAGATAACGAACAGTATTTAAATTCAAAACTAATAAAACAATACAAAATTGGAGCAGAGCAAACACAAACCTCCGAAACATCAGAGGTGGGATCAGGTGCCATGGAGGAGTGAGCATTCCCTGCTGACCGGCCACAACCGCCGTGTGCTCCTTGTCATGGTCGGGACAATAAGTATGAAAAAGGTCAGTAAGCTTTTGTCTCAATGATGAATTGTATTTGCTGACAAGGTCATTGTAGCGAACATAAGATTTACAAAGTGATGACTTTAATCGAGACTGTTGGTATTATTGTTTCATCAACTTGCGTTTTAAGAGTAAAAATCAGCATTCATCGAGCATTGAATGGAAAGTCAAAATTTTATTTTTTCAAAAGCTTTTGGTATATAAAAGATTCTGTCCTACCTCATGCTAAAACACAATTGAATTGTTTTTGAATCTATGAAGGGACTGGTATCCAAGGAAATTGAATTCCTTAGCAACAGGTTTATAAATCTTTAAGAAAATCAATTATTTTTAGACATTTTGTCTATGAATATGTTTTCTGAACATAATAATATAAGGTATTTTGGTTACTTTATTTGTTAAAAGATGGAATTACTTTATTTTCCAAAAATAGGAAAAACAAAATATCTGAAGTGATATTGTTGCCATGACAACGGGAAATGAACATGGCGTCAATGCTTATTAATTTTGAAAAAAAATACATATGTTCATTACTATATTCGTAAAATCTACAACCACTGCTGGAAAATGAATAGTGTAATCTTGTTAGAGGTTATCTATATGTCATATCCATACAATAAAATTTGCAGGCAACTTTAGTAGAAAAAGTTACAAATGGTTAAATTGTGTGACAATCTGGCATTTATAAGCCTATTTGAAGGGGTTTGAATAATTTGAATAAACGTACAGTGTACATTATATTGGTCATATTGGTTCTGATCAAAGCATATTCATACTTTACTATTGTTGATAAATAATGCACATTCAATTTCAAAAGGAATTATATATTCCTAACAAACGAAAATTGGAAAGGAGGGAGGTTAGGAATCACTTTGTTCACCCGTCCATATGTATGTAAAATTCTGACTTGTCCATAACATTTTAATAAAGTGCCACTGAGAAGTTCATACTTGATATTAAGATTGCTTTTGATCTAGAGATGTGTCAAAAACTTGACCCAAGGTCATTTGAACAAGTTCATGGTCATAGAAGAAAATTGCAAACCCATTCTGTAACATTCTAATGAAAAGACTTGAAGTTTCATCTCGGGGATTATTTTTGAGCTGTAGGTTTGTCATGACCTTGACCAAACTTCATTTGAAGATGTTGAACTTGACTCAAGAACATAACTTTTTCAGGGTCACTGCTGTAAAAGTGTAATATATGAGTTTGGTACATTTACATATTTAACTTCGAATGAAGACAAATTGGAAGTCAACGGTTTTACTACCTGTGATTTAAGTATATGTCAGAGTCAATTTCGGTATGTATATCTGCTCTAGCAAAATTTTAAAAAGGTTCTAAATTAATATTTGGACCTTTTTTGTAATAAAAAACATTTCATGCAATAACAGGAGGGTGGGTATCATTTATGAGCTTGCTCACAATAATTCTAGTTTATGAAAGAGAGTCACTGTGACAGCTCACATAATTCTAAAGTTAAACCATATCAATCAGGCATGTAGCATCAGGTTTGGGTTGGGTAGGGGAGATGACATCCCCCAACTAACTTTTTTCTCAACATAACCTGATGTTTAACCCCCCTCCCTGAGTTTGGAGAATTTCCCTACTTTTTTCTTGCAGTTTTTTAGGACTACCCCACACCATGCACTTTCAAAAACGAAACCATGTCTGTCAAGAACGAATGACTGCCACCTTTGGTATTGAACCGATGATATATTCTCCTGCTGTCCTAATTAAGAAACAATATTGCTAGACAGCTAAGATCTCAGTAGCTACTGATGCCTAAAATAAAAATCTGGAAGGGCTATATACATGTATTTGTGAATGTCTAATCTTGAACTGACCCTAAAAGATATTCATTAAGGTTTTGTCAAAGGTCAACATATCTAAAAAATTATTTTTATAATAGCTCCAAAACAATTTGTGGTATAAAGTAAAAACGTTTACAGTTTATAAATATATCATTGATTAATAGATAGAGAGTATCACTTGATAACAAATATTTTCAAAAAGAGATTTTTTGAGAAAATTGTATCAGAAAATGTGCATATATAAAGAGAAATGCACCTGCTTAATTCTGTTCGCAGCATTGTTAAGGCTTGAATTAGTTACTGCAAAGAAATGAAAAACATAATTTAGAGTTTTGACAAAACATAGAACCAATTGACCTTTTTATCGCAAGTTTTTAAATTTAAAGAATACCTAAAATCAATACAGTCTCAAATTTGTGTTGTATATTTCTGTTTTTAGATGAATTTGTAAATGTGCAAAAACACTTGCTAAGTGTTACATATTTTACTGCATGGTTAATTTATGTTATACATTCTTCCGTAACTGTTGTAATGGTAAATTGTAAAAATTTCAATCACTCACCGTAATTAAGACTCATGAAAACACCAAGACTGCTCCAAGTTTGCAATTTTCTGCTAGTCTTCTGTACATGTACATTGTTATTGAAAACAAGGTAAGCAAAGTACCGTTTATTCCTCCTATGTAAGAGAACTATACCAAAAGGAGGTAATTTGAAGCAAAAAGGACAGAAAATTATGGATTTAAATCAATTATCATATATAAATGCTTTACTTGCCTGCAGATTTTTTTTCTTGATTCTCCGAATTCTAGAGCAAATACTGTTTAATAAATATTTTATATTTTATGTAGATAAGCTTTAATGTGGTTGTAGATTTCTTATAGAGCTCTTCAAATTTGCTGTTTTTTAAAGCAAAATAAACCTCCAAAAGCTAGTTTTATTTATCAAAAGGTGAAGAGAATTTCAATAATCAACAGTTGTTAAAAATTTATATGAATAAAATAATAATAATTTAGAAAGCTTTTTTAATGACTATTAATAAAAAAGTATTTGTTTAACCGTAAATTCAAGCGTCATGATAAAGTACAAAGCATGCTATTCGAAAGTCGCATGGTTTCCACAGCAACAATGCGGAAAATTATTTTTGGTTGCCTTTTTCCATCATGCCCTTTGTTCTGAAAATTTATATATGAGTTTTAAACAAATCTGTTTCTATGCCACTTTCCACATTTCATAACTAAATGTCCGATGCTTGCTGATATTGACTATTAATAATTTACCTCGTTTTAGAAATTGTTCATACCGTATCGAATCAACTGAGATATATAGACTCCGTATGCAGGTGTTGAAGGTATAATTCTGTATAAGTAAGGGAAGTTGACGATAGAAAAATTAAAGTCATCACGTTTATCATATGGCTTAGTAATTAAATTACTATTTACGTCTTTTTCCAGTGAAATATCCACGTACAAAATAGATGTGTCAGACTCTGTGGTATCTTTTATATCAAGCTCACCAGGATAGATCATGTCGACGTAGGAATGGAATTGACCATTGTTAATTGACAATACGTCGTCGATATATATAAATGTCGAGTTAAAGGCTAAGGAAGCGTTTTTTTTTCTTTTCATGCATTAGATTTAGCACAAATTATACTTTATATGAATATAGAAATAGGTCTGCTTATAACGGAGAGCAATTGGTTCCCATGGGAATTCCAATAGATTGTTTGAATACCTGGTCTCCAAAAAACCATATGTACTGTCAACCAGAAACTCAGAAATCTTTTTGATGTCGTCTTCAAAGTACTTGTGTGTGCAATCAGAATGCACGGTCTATTGATAGGAATATATTTGCTAACAGGTTTATT